GACCTTTATTTATGTCACAGAATTGGATCGTTAATAGTAGAATTTGTTTTGGTGATAAATTAGATATTTCTTGAAGCAAATAATTTATAAAACATTTACGAATACATACTCAAATCTACTAATCTTGAAGGAATTTAACATGCCAAAAAAAATATTGTAATTATGATTCACATACAATGCATGTGTGCATCTACTAGGTTACTAAAATTTCCTTTGAAGGAGAAAGAGTGATCATTAGTGAACACATTTTGGAAGCTATAATCAAAGAACATATGTGGTGAATAGGACATATCTTCACAAAATCTTACGAACTTAAGAGAATTCTTATCATGTGACTAGTTTTGATTTGTGAATTGATGGATTATAATTTATATTAGAGTGTGCAGTGAATCATTGGATTAGATTTAATATTAGTGAAATTAACTATTAGTTACGGTTACAGTAGTGAATGTAGAGAGTATAAGCTTAAAGTCTGAGATTTAATCTCCTGGAAAATATGGTGTATAGTTTGATGGTTATAATTTTTGGGAATCTTTCAGTGTCCACTGAACCATAGAAATTGATAAGTGTCCATAGGATGTGAAGTTATTATATTTTAAATATTGTGAGTTTCACTAGTCTAGTGAGAAACAAAGTCGTTAAGAATGATGCATTTATTTAAGAAATCGTTGTAGATCTTGCAATAATGGCATTACTAAGTTTTAGATTATACCATAATTTGAGTATACGAACGATGAGTAATCTCTTTAGCAAAATTGAATTTGGTTGTTGTGAAATGCTTGTGGATAAGTTACCTGTAAAAAACAAACATGAGATTTTTTTTTAAATGATTGATACATTCAAAAGAGAAGTGATATTCAATGAATAGGAAATAAGTTGAAGATCTAGCAATTATACATGATATGAAATTAGTTTAGACAATCACATGGAATTATTGAGTATAAAGAATAATCAAAAGTAGTGAATGAAGATAAACTTGAGGACTTTCACTAACTGTAGTGATGGTATAAGTTGAAGAGATGAATTTAAATTAGGATATGATGTTCTATTTTAATCTTGGCTTTGATATTTAAAGGATGAATAGAAGTAGAGACATCATGGTCAAATGAGAATTAGATAGACTAATTCGACGATTAAGTTTCGAGGACGAAACTTTTTTTTAGGAGAGTGGATTGTAAGACTTCGTATTAAAATTAAATAAGGATACTATTATTTTAAAAGTTCTTCTAATATGAAAAAAATGATGGTAAAAACTTAAAATCATTGTTGAAAGATTGATCATGAAATTTGAGTTTCGAACGAATTGACTTTGGGTTCAAACTTAATTTCGAAGGTGTGTAAGCTTAAGAAGGGTGATTATGTAAGTTTCTAAATATTTTTAGGTCAAAATAATGTCTCAATTGAATTTGGAAGGTCGAGAAACTTTAGGAGAGGTAATATGGGGTGTTTTAGAAGTTATGAAGTATTCCGAAGTTAAACGCAGTTTAGAAAGAATTAAGGTAGGAAGGAATTTGACACTACCTTAATATTTTAGCCATACTTTTTTACTACTAACTCCGATTGAGCTGATATTTGGAAACTAGAAACTAAATTTCAAGGGATACAAAAGTGTATTTAACGAAAATTTTCTAAATTGACATCTAAATAGGTGAAAACTGATTTGGAAGTCAGAGGCAGAAAGTTGACACCATCCGAACAGTACTCCTTACCGTAATTTTTTTTTTTATCCAAAACAGTGAATTTGCATCGTCCGAACGCCCAAGCACCATCTGAATGCTACCCTAACAACGGCTCCGCTTATTTTTAGGGGTTTTCTCCGTTTTTCACCCTATTAATACCATAAGAACGTCTCTTTAGTCATGTTTCATCTGTTTTCAGCCCTAAGCATCCCTAAAGAGCGAGAGAGAAAGAGAAAACAAAAGATAAACAAAAGGGATTCTCACATTAGAAACGGATCAAACACGCTAGATTTACACACAAATTACGGAATCAAGATAGAGGTTTCTTCCTAAACTTGTTCATTGAGGGTATGATTAATATATATGTATGTTTTGATTATAAATCGTATATATATGTTATGAAATCATTGTTTCTTGGTTTTCTTATAAGTTGTATCATGTCTTGAATTAGGTTATCGTTTGATAGCCATAAGAACTCTTGTTCTTGATATCAAAACCCTAGTTTTCAAGAAATATAGATTTTATCCTTGATATTCTAAGGTTCNGTAAAATTGTTTTGCTAAGTTGAATTATTATCTTTATTTCTTTTGGTTTGAAAATCCTCATGTGAAAAACTAACTGTTTGTTGATGGTTTATTTGGTTGCTTTACTTGAGTATGGAATTTGTGCAATCTAATTGGTGCCGCTTTATTCTTGAAAGAATCATATTTTTGAGTCTTAGGCGAAGGATTTACATATTTGTTAAGGTTGTGGCTTATTTCTTTTGTGTGGTTTGGTTATTTTTGATAAAAACACATCAATTCAATTCCTTCAGTTTCTTAGTTATTTTAAGAAGATAGTTTGTTGGTTAATTTGTAATTTTCAGTTGTTATCTCCGGGATATGATGAATACCTTCTTTATATCATTATGCTTTGGTTCAGCATAATTAATGTGCCCTTCATTTTTGTCTTTTGCGTAGGTTTCTATTGCGATTTATATTTGAAATGGTAGAATTTTTGACCTAATTTACAATATATGCACTTATATAGCAGTTGAATGATTTTAAGTTTGAGATTCAGTTGGGATGGTAAATACTGGGAGAACTACAAGTTTTTTCCAAAGAGATTATATTGTAATTTCAGCACCCTTTTAAGATGCATATGAATTTTCTATTTCAATTATATTTTTTGTTGATTTATTTCAAATTGCATGTTTATGTTCTCTTTTCTAATGCTTGGAGTTCAATTTGGATCTGTCTCGTTGCAGGTTTGGCAATGAATCTATTTTTCATGGACTGAATGCAATGAAGAAATCGGAGGAGCAGAAGAGGAAGGATAGAGCAGAGAGGTTTTATTTTCTGCCTCCCTATTCTACTTTGACAAATTGGTTGTTGAATTGTTGAAATCTTCAGTGAATGATGTTGTTTGACTATGTTAGTTGTTTCTCAGGTTTGGGCTTATGCAGCTTGTGCTTGCTGATGTAGAAGAAAAGAAGGCAGCTAGGCTTGCCAGATTTGCACCAATCTCCACAACTAATTTAGTGGAAGAAGACAAAATGAAAGCTAGGGAAATTCGGTCTGTATCATTTCTACATCTTTGAGTTTTCTTGCTATTGTTAGGGGGCATGATTTAGTGCATCACAATGTTTTGTGCAATATAGAGACAAATACCTGTATTTATGCTTGAGCATTTGCATTGATTACTATTTAATTCTATTTACAGGTTTTCATGATCTTAGTTGTCTATCACAAGTGAATGTCAAATTAAACATGGATATGGTAGGGCTCTATTATTGAATTATTTTACATATCAAATGATGGACTCTTTTAAAATGTGTTTCTTTATGCACTTATTTTATGTTGCTCAGGATACAGCTAACGTGGGCAAGACAGGTGGAGTGACTTGAACATCAAAGCTTCTTTGCCTTGCAGTTTGCAATAAGATTCGTTCAAGATATAATTTGTAGTTGCCTCTTGTTTTAGTTTTTGTTATTGTTTTTTTTCCTTACCTGGCAAGTTAGTCTCATTCATGAGCTGTTTTAATATTGTTCTATTTGGCAAGTCAGTACATTTTTGTGATCCCTAGTGGCATTACGCCCATATCTACTTTCTAACACCGATTTTTGGTTGCATTACTCTTCAATTCTTTTTGTGAGGCACAACACAGGATTTTTGGTGATGTAGATGTTCTTTCATCCAACAACATGAAATTATAGCTGAGAAATTTTTTTCTGCTTGCAAATCTTTTAGTATAGAACTGAGATTCTTTGGAAATTATTGATTGGAACCTTAATGTTGTCTGATGACTTTATCTTCGATGCATATTTGATTTCCATGAGTTCAACCTCTGATTCTATATATAGTCTCATCTCAAGTTGCATTGCTCAAGATCCAGTTGGAGTCAATAGTAAAGTTAATTGTGAGTCTAACATCATTCGATCCAACACTTTTCAATGTTGCATAAGTATCAATTTTAGTCCTTACTTGGAAAATCAAAGCAGACCTGCCTTGTGCTAATTGTTTTATAGTGGTATCTTTTTGGAATTCCCTCTTTGTGTCATTTTTTCAAGTTAGGGACACTAATCAAATGAACTTTTTCCTCCCTGTTCTGACTCTATGATCAGCTTGCGCTCACACCGTCTTTGTTGAGAGAATAGGCCAAGGGGCTAAGTGAATTTCAAAAGTTGAACAATCAATAAAGCATAGAAAATGTGGGCTCTATGACTAGCTCCAATTGAACAAGGAGGGATCAATTCTTCATTTATTTGAACCCAATAATATACATTACCTCTTTTATGTTATGGAAAACACTAATGTTGGAACTTTTACGAAGACGAGTTGCCAAATAAGAAGATAAAAAAGGGACATTGTTGATAAATTTGTGGTGTGCCAATTTGGATATGTTTTTTAAAGGTTTTTCCTCAAGTGAAGGTATAAAGATCTTGTTTTACGTACTTTAGTGTTCATGGTCTGTTTTTATTACTTGACATGAACCAATTTAGCTGCAAATTTTTTGGTGAAAAATGATATTTTACTTTGTAGGTTCAAGAAGAAACTGCAAAGTTTGGAAAATCTGACATGTATTTTTTTTTTGTCCTAAGCATCCTCCGTAGATTGAAGAAAAACTAAAGTCAGGTAGACTTTTTGGTTCATTTGAGAGGAATGCCAAATGTTAATATTGTTAGGTATAAAAATATAGTCATTAATTGGGGACTAATTACCTTGAGATAGTTACAGATTTTAGGTTGTGTGGCATGATAGAGTGGTTTACTGGATTTCACTGTGAAGGGTTGGAGCTTGAAATTCAAGATGCTTCAATTATTAAGGCTCTCGAGAAGGCTTGTTGAACCAAATAGGCTCAAACTAAGAAGCAATATGCAATAAGGTATTGGTTGCTCATTTCTGTTTTATAGTTGTTTCTTACGTTATGGATCACTTGTTTATGGGTAACTTAGCAAGTCTATTGTCAACTTAATGAAGTGTTTTAAAAGTTAATTATGAAAAATTATGTTTCTTTTTGTTGATGGAAGGTTTTGGCAAATGAAAATGGTTAACCTATGCTATTTAATCTTGTATTTAGCATAATCACTAATGCCATAAGCAAAAGGCTTTAAATTTAGCATGTGTATGGCTATACATTGATCTTTGTGACTCCATATTAGGAATAATCCAGAGACAGGTTGGTCTCGGAATAGACGTGGGATAGGAACCACATGAAGCTTTTAAAGGAAGATTAATTGAAAGAAGGGAAAGTAAAAAA